GCATAGCTTTGGTCGTAGATTTCACTTATGCTCAGAAACTTCTGCAATAGCTTTGTTAAATTATAAACTAAAGCGGGTTACGCGTATTTATATATATTATACAATTAACTGCATCTTCTACTATTTGTGAACAATACGGCTCTTTATACTTTTTATATTTATCTCACTATAGGAACGTATAAATTAATAAGGTTAAAGTATACATTTGGTTCTTTAACTTTATACAAGGTTTTAATTTGGTCCTTTAACTTTAAAATGTATATATTTGGTCCTTAACCCTAAAATCATTAGACTTTAATGATGATTTTTTTGTAACAATCATGGATTTTTTGAAAATTAAACTTAATATGTTAGTATTTGAGAATGCTTTATTAACATTTAATATCTTAATGTCATCATTTTCTTAAAAAATTTTAAGGTTAAAGAACTAAAAGTATACTTTTTAAAGTTAAGGAATTAAATTAAAATCATATACAAAATTAAAGAACCAAATGTACATTTTAGCCAATCAATAACTTGTATGGTTTTATGTTTTTATCATCAATGGTTTAAGCAAGGCTGTCAGACCAAAAAAAAAAAAAGCAGTAAAAATCACAATTAAAAAAATTTGTCAACAAGCCAGCTTATTTCTTTTAATCATTGAGATTTGAATTGAATAATTAAAGAGCTTGTTTCTTTGAGTTTCTCAAAGTAATTTTTGGACGGTTAAAACGTGATTTATAATATGGGAAAAATTAGTTTCCCAGTTCTTATAGTTTACTTGAATTTTGAATCAAGTCCCTGCATTTTTTTAAATTTTTTATTAAGTCCTTTAAGTTTACACAGTTAGCTTTATTAATCCCTACTGTTTAAAACCGTTTAAAAAGAGTTAACACCATTAAAATTTTACTAGTGATAAGGACTTGGTAGATTTTTGTACACAGAAAATATCAAGACTTTGCAACACATATAACAGTAATACTGATATTTTGATTCAGGTCCTCCTCACTAATAAGATTTTCAATAGGGAAATTTTTCTCAAATTTTTCTTATTCTTATCTAAATTTTTATGTCTTTACAATTTAGGTTATCATTCCCTTAATTTTTCTCTGACATTTGGATAATGTTGCTTTTTTATTAGGGGCAAACCAAGAAGCAAGCAGAAGGTCCTTCCTATCATAGAGTTTGAAATACTCGGACAAGAGTCAAGAAGCAAGCATAGAATTTCATAATATTAATATTACGAGCTTCCAAATCAACGTCTTTAATATCACTAAAAAAACAATAAATTAACAATATAATTTAGCGACCCAATTTTATTATTCTGTTACTAATTTCATGATTAGAATTAACAACATAATTATTCTGTCAAACAATCTATCAATAATCCATCAATAATTCTATTATTACCTCCGGTCCTAATTATAAGAGCCAGTTGACTAATTTGAGAAGATTAAGGAAGTAAGTTGAGTTAGTTATTTATCCTAAATAGGTGTTGTCTTTCCTAAAATATCCTTGCTAATCAAGTATATTAACTAGATCTATAATTATTAGAAGGATTATCTTGAAAAAAATTGAGTAAATATGAGAGACAAAGTGGATTGGGGTCTTATATTTAGGACCAAAATAAAAGTTAAATAGGGTCTTATATTAAGAACCGAGATAGTATAAAGTATTTGGTAATGGAAATGCTCAAAATTATAAATTTTTATTTCTCAATGTCATTACTAAAATGCTTGTCATCAAAATATTCTATCATTAATTTTGTGACTAAACTATGGTTCATCCCGTCCCTCCCTCTCATCCTTCACGTCATTGTGATCATGAGAGTACGGGAGATACAATTATTTGACTTAAATTATAAAAACCATTCATTTATTTTAAAATTGTGCGAACATTCTTTGAAATTAAATCATATGTTATACAAATCTTTCTTATATAATTGATATGCCATTTTCGTTCATCTAAATGTTAGTTCTCTTAAAGTTTGACTCTTAAAATTTTGTTTTGACAAAAATACACCTGCTTAACATAAAAATTATTTAAATATTTATATTATATTTTTCAAATAAATATTTTTTATACAACAAAAATAACTTTAATACATATATTTTCAAGCTTTCTAATATGTTGTAAAGTTAATTTTGATTATATTATAAACTTTTGTAATTTTAATCTTTCATCACATGTATTGGAACTTATTTATTGAGTTTTTTTTTCAAATTAATGGCTAACAAATATTTCAAACACATATTTTTTCATCATATATTATAATTATAAATGATGCAAGATTGGGAGATTATATAAACAATTTAAATTTAAAATATAAAATTTTTAACAAAGCTTTAGTTACAAACACGTATAAACATACTCAGTCAGTTATATATTTTTTTTCAAAAATTAATCAAATTTTCAATCAAGTTTTTTCATGTATACATTAAGTAAAGGGTAAATATCATCTCTAGTTTTTAAAATTTGATCTTATTTTAATTTTAGTTTCTAAAATTTCATACTTTCATGAACCAAAAAAAAAACTGTTCCATAAACAAAAAATCTGTAAACAGATCAAAATAAAGTTAAATTTTAAAAATCAAAAGCACTTGTTTCAAATTTTAAGGACCAAATTAAAACTAAAACAAGATCAAATTTTTACAACTAAAGATGATATTAATCGTTGACTAAATTATTTAAACTTCTTTTCTAACATGATAAAAACATTATAAATATATCTATTTACAAAAGTAAATAAAAAATCAAGGAAAAGGGAAAACTTTTAAATTCTTTAAAAATATTTTAGCCAAAATTAAAAATTTAGTATCATGATGTAAACTAGTAAACAAAAGTACTTTAATATAAATTTAATTAAAAAGTATCTTTTGAAATTTAAGTGTATGTTATCACAATAGATGATGGAAAATCATGTGAGCAAGACAAAATGTAATAGATTAAAGGTTGAAGTATTTTACTGTAAAATTGAGAGTCATATGCGGAAATCAAATTATTTGCAACGGCATTCTATTGGTGTGGGTGTGGCTTTTGGAGAAACCAATAAGATTTATGGTTATTGAGTTTTCCAATTTTTGATTTGTGGTCTCTAGAAATAAGTTCTGATATTATGCTAACATAATAAATTTATTTATTAAGGTAAAAAATGTTCATGTTATTAGATATTTCCATTTAAACCTACTACATAAACTGACAAAAGAAACAAATACATATATTTACATATTTTTAATTCTCACCACTTTTTTCTTTCTAATTTATAGTGACTTCAGATTTTTTCGTATCAACCTAGCAATGTTATGGAGCACATTCTAAAAGACTACAATAACTTGTTAGAAGAGAGAGCTCTTTAGATTTATAAATCGAACTTTTCTTCTAAGGCTTGAGGCTCATAACATTTTGTGAGTGCAATGGATTGTCAAACTAACTTCCCTGTCATATTTATATTGGATTGTTTCATCTAAAACATAGAGGTTACGAAATTTTGTGCACTATACAAGTACTAAGATTTTGATTACTATAATTTGTTTTTTATGCTAAATATTGGATCATAGTATAGTTGTGCCTGAGGTATCACGATATGACCTTGTTGTTTTTGTAATTGTAATCTCATTATGTATGATAGATGGCGGAGATTGCTGCCAGTAGTGCTGCTGCAACAAAATGTACTGATATATTGGTAGACAAAGTAACAAAGGAACTTCCATATTTGTGTTGTTACAAGAGTTATGCAGCTGAATTTGAAGAGAAAAAAGGAGAATTGTCAGCTGCAGTGGAGAGTGTGGACATGAAGATAAAAGAAGCCAAAAGAAGGAATGAAACTCAAATTGACCCTTTAGTTAAGCATTGGGTTCGAAAAGCCAACAACTTCATTCAGCAAGAAACAAGACCAAAGAAATGGTTTGGTTTCTGTAATGATTGGTTTTCGCAATATTCACTGGCGAAGAAATTAGAGCGCATCATGCAAGAGATTCCAACAATAATGGAGAAAGCTGAGAACTTCTCACAAGTTGCACGTGCAGCTGGACCTCCAGGCATGGAGTTCTATTCACAAGAGTTTATGCATTTTAAGAGTAGAAACTTAGTTTATGAACAACTTAGGGAGGAGCTGAAAAATGACAATATACATAGGATTGGATTGCAAGCAATGGGAGGATCAGGGAAAACCACAATGACAAAAGCAATTGGTAAGGAACTTGAAAATTCAAAGGCATTTGATAAAGTTGTCTTCATTGAAGTGCCTAATCCTGTTGACGAAAAGAAGATTCAAGATGAAATTGCAAAAAAATTGGAGTTGAAGTTGGAGGATGGCAAGGATTTAACACACGCAGAACAAATATGGATCAGAATCACTAATGCTGGAAGTGTACTCATAATACTTGATGATGTCTGGGAAGAGCTCAAACTTGAGAACATGGGGATTCACCATGGCATCCATAGCCAGGGCCGGTGTTGTGTCTTGCTAACCACACGTTATGAGACAATTTGTAGAAGAATGAGCTGCCAAAAGACTGTTAAACTAGGGCTCTTACCTGAGGAAGACGCAGTGAATCTTTTCCTACATCATGCCACTGAAAATGGGAAGGATTGTCCTAATAAATTGAAGTTGCTAGCATCAAAAGTTGTGATTGAGTGTGGAAACTTACCAGTTGTAATTGTAGCAGTTGCACGAACCTTTAGAAATTGGGATCCAAATGAATGGGAGGATGCTTTTGCAGTAATAGAAAAAGATTCATCCTTAAGGCATGGGAACATGATGAAGAAGTGAAAAAGTTTTACAATTCTCTGAAAATAAGCTTCAAGTGTCTAGATAGAGGAGCGCAAGATCTCATCCTGCTATGTTCTATATTCCCAAGAGCTTATGAAATACCAGTAGAGGTTTTAAGCAGAATTGCTATAGGTTCAGGGCTTAGTGAAAATGTTGGCAGCTATATAGAGCAAGAAGTGAAGTTCTTTCAATCAAAACCACACTCGTACGTTCTGCTTTATTGCTCACTACTAGAGAAGGATTTGTAAAGATGCATGATGTGATTCGTGATATAGCCCATCAAATAGGAGATGAAAAGATTCAAGTAATCATGGATTCTAAAAGTAAATTGAAGGAGAATGTAAAATATTCATCCTGGATGATAGATGACTTTTCCAACTCTTTTGAGGGCATTAATCTTGAGGTTCTTTTAGTATGGGTAAATAATGCAAGTCATTCTTTGGGAGTTCCTGAGGCATTCTTTGGAGGTATGAAGGGACTTAGAGTTTTGCTTTTGTGTTCTAAGGTTAAGTTTCGGAGAACATTGGCCTTGTCACTACCAAAATCAATTCATTCACTTGAAAATATCCAAACACTGTCCCTAACAAATTGGGAGTTGGGTGATATATCTATTTTGCAAAACCTCAAAAAACTCCAAACTCTTGAATTGACAAATTGTTCAATTAGTGAATTGCCAAATGAAGTTAGCCAACAGGAGAAACTGAGGTTGCTAGGCTTGGTAGATTGTTCAATCGAAAAGAATAACCCGTTTGAAGTGATTGGGAGATGCTCGAAACTTGAAGTATTGTATTATATTTCAAATCATGACACTCTTAAAATTAATCCAAAGCCTTCTAAAATTATAGATCTTGATCAAGAATTTAGAATATATCATGTAGAAGGCAACTACTCTTACCAGCGTTCTTTTCAATTGGATGCTTCAACAAAAAGATATTTCAATTCAACCAAGTTAAAAGGGATCTTGTCTGAAAGCACAATCAAATCCCTGGCAGCAAGAGCAGAGATTCTTGAGTTAACAGAATGTAATGATACAAGATGGACAAACCTTATTCCTGACATAGTTGATCCTCAAGAAGATGAAGGCATGAATGGCTTAATTAGGCTTTCTTTGAAATCTTGGCCTGCAATACAATGCCTCATCAATACAAGTGGAATTCAATCTCATGCAACCATCTTCTCAAACTTAGTTGAGCTACGACTTTCTAACATGTGTGTGAGGGAATTATGTCATGGTGATTTTCCTAATGACTTTCTCAAGCAACTAGAGAAGCTATACATAAGTGGTTGTGCTGAAATAGACGGCACACTATTGAAGGGCAAGCTAGAGCTAAGTAGTTTGAAGTCTATAGAGTTAAATGGTTGTTCGATGACATATCTTTTCTGTCTATCCACAGCTCAAAGTCTAAAGCAACTAGAAAATTTGGACATAAGTGGATGCTCAAAGATGAAATGCCTAATAAGTGATGATAAGAGATCTGCAGAGCAAAAAGTGGACGATCATCATGATTGTAATCAAAAGACCCATCACTCAATGTTCCCGAAATTGAGGTCTCTGAACATTGAAGAATGTCATGAATTGGAATTTATATTGCCAATTTTTCCTTGCAAAGAGCTAGAAAGTGTGAAAATCCGTGGTTGTAATAAGCTAGAATTCATATTTCGGCAATGTTTAGAGGAGGGAGGTATGCGTCAAATGGAAAAGGAAACCATACTCCCCTCACTACAAGAAATAGAAATTGCAAACGTACCCAAATTCATCAACATATATCCAGAATATTATCTCCCACAGTCTTCTCAAGTGCAGAAATCATGGGGCCCTCTGTGTCGTTTATCTTCAAAAGCAAGTGCCTTTAGCATCAATGAACTATCTTTTTCCAGGGCCAATCAATTGAACCTTACTCAGGTACTTTGTCTCACTTTTTTTGGTTACTATGATTGTGATTTTGTAATGTAATAACATATTGACAAATATTTTAATGTAACATAGGCATTAAAGGAGAAACATCTCGGTAAAGCTAGTGGACTTTTTACACCTTCATTATGTCCATACAAGAATTTAAGAAAGATGAGTGTAGAGGGATTTTCTGAGTTGAAGTCACTTCTTACCCTGTCGATTGCCTCATCATTGAAATTGTTAGAAGAATTAACAATCAGTAAATGTGGTGAACTGGAGCACATAGTCACAGATGAGGGGCATGCTTACAGTCATATGAATGATTGTTGTATCTTTTCCAACTTAAAGCAAGTTGAAGTCTTCAATGCTGAAAAGTTGAAATATGTGTTTGGAAAATGTCATTCCAATCAAAGGCATAATGTTCATATTGAACTTAATCTCCTAGATCTCAAAAGACTAAGCCTTCATGATGTGCCAAATATGGTGAGTATTTGCACCAAAAAGTATTCTGTGAAGGCATTATCTCTACAAGATATAAGTTTGAAAAACTGCCCACAACTTCCCATAAATAATGTTATAGATTTATCCATTGATGTGCAAAAAAGAGATCACCTCTCAAAGGAAAAGGTAAACCTCTTTCCTACTATTTTTTTTTAGTTTGTGAATATTTAAGTAGAGAAAATTTATTCTTTTGTGTGAAGATTTCTACTTGTGGTAGCTTTTTGTGTGTGTATAGACACATATATTATTGATTTTGATGGCTTGTTCAAAAATATGCCTTATGTTAGTAGTAGGTTACTTTTTCACCTCTGACTTCCACTTTAAAACATTTATATTGTTCAATTTTTCCTTGTTATTTTACTTTTTCATTTACAGAAGTATTTAGAATGTTGAAATTTACATTCTTTATAATTTTTATTATAAAAGTTGATGTCGTATAGATTAAAATATATAATTTTGGCTTCTAGGTAATTGTTTAAAGAAAAAATCACAAATAAAGATTTTGAAAAATATAAAATTGCAATTTGGATTTTTGAATTCAAAAAGTTATTGCTAGGGACCTCATCTTAAATTTGAATTATGAAATATTGAGTATAAGACCAAGTTGCCTTCCTATTGAAAATAACAAGTGAACTATTGGGAATAACAAGCATAGCATTTAAAATTACAAGTGAAGTATTTCAAATAATAAATTTGTACTACGAAAAAATAAGTACAATTTTAGAAATTACAAGTTAAGTATTTCAAGTAACAATTTAAGTATTCCAAGTAATAGGAGGGCAATTTGGTTTTTTATACAATATTTGCTAATTTATATTTAAGAGTCAGTTCTTGACAACAATTTTAGGATTTGAAGAATCCAAATTGCAATTTTATATTTTCTATGGCCATTATTTGCAATTTTTCCTTGTTTAAATAGAAAATAATAGAAAAGCAAAAGATAGAAATTTCAGTTTGAGCTCAATTTATATCAAAAGCGAGCATTTCTTTTGTTTACAATATGAGAAAAATTAGGGGAGAAATTCAAAATATTTATATATTATAAGTTGTTAGAAAAGCTGAATAAAATTTCTCTTGAATTCTTCTTGGTTTCACAAGTTCTGTAAAGAACCAGAAAAAGTATTTTCTATTTTTTTTAAATATAACAACATACTAAAATGTTCTTTATTAGTTTATTGAAGAAGAATTCATATGTATTTACCAGGAAAAAGGAAAAAATGAATTAACATGTTTGTATTTAACCAAGGCATCCAAATCGAAGCACGTGCCAAGTACAGCTTATGGATATTTTCCACTACCATTATCTCAATCCAATTTGAGAGGGATTGAGATAACTGGATTTTCCAAGTTAACATCACTCTTTACCATATCCATTGCCTCATCACTGAAGTTCTTGGAAACATTGTATGTCAAGGAGTGTGATGCACTGGAACATATTATAACAGACGAGGGGCCTAATGGTCAAGGTCATATGAATGTGCACTCTATCTTTCCTAACTTACAACAAGTCTATATTTGGAGCTGTAACAATTTGGAATTTTTATTCCCAGCTTTTTATTCAAAAGACTTTAAGGAGTTGGGATATGTGAGCATCGGGAAGGCAGAAAAGATGAAATATGTATTTCGAGAATGTCATGCTGATCAGAATCATAATGTTCAGAGTAAACTTAATCTCCCAGCCTTGAAAACAATATACCTTGTAGATTTACCAAATATGGTTAGTATTTCCACAGAAAATTATTACGTGGAGGTATTAAATCTAGAATATATTAGTATTGAAGGATGTCTACAGCTTCCTCAAACTTTTATAGATTTCTTGGTTGGTGGACACAAAAGACAAGAAGATCTCTCAAGCAGAAAGGTAAACCTCTCTGCCGTTTGCTAGCTTATAATCAATCACCTAAAGAGACTCTTTAAGACTAACATATCTCAATTGTATGCTTACAGGCATTATCTTTCAAGGAGAAAGGTAAGGCACTTTCGAACTTGCAAGAGTTGGCTGATTTAAGGGATATATATGTGGGACCTAAAATCTCTTTGAGCTTTCAAAACCTTTCTGTTCTAGAATTTGAAAAATGCAAACAGTTGAAGTTCATACTGTCTGCTTGTACCACGAGAAGCATACCAGAATTGAGAAGGCTATTCATATCAGACTGTGAAGAGTTGGTGAGCATAATTGAGGATGATGAAGAGAATCAACAAAATCCTTTGGATCTGCATCAACCATGTTTCCCAAAGCTATGCCATATTCGAGTAAAGCACTGCAAGAAGTTGAAATGCTTATTCTCTGTCTCTACATGTGCTAAACTTCCATGTCTCTTGACGTTGGAGATAGAAGATGCTCCTGAGCTTGCTCAAGTATTTGAATGGAAGCAGGGCGCGCCGCAAGAGTTGGTCATCAAGGATGTGCTTCCAAATTTACTTGCAATAAGACTGGTAAAACTACCAAGTCTTCACACTATCTATCATGGAATTGATTTCCACACTGTGAAAATCCGTATTGTGCAAGATTGTAACAATATCCCTTCACCTAATGTCAGCTCCTCTGAGAGTAAGTATTCACATATACGTAGTTAATCGAAATCATTAACTGCTACATATGATTTCTTCTCATAGTAATGATAACGAAATTGTGGTTTTGGTTGTGCAGTATTTGATTATCTCGATTATTCTTTTCCACAAGAAAAGACCTTCAACTACACATACGGTATTATTCAGGAATGGGCTTGCGAGGTTAGTGCCAGACTTCTATTAATTTTGGTAGAAATTCAATACTTCCCCCACTTTTCTTATTTTGTGGGCGAAGATTACTATTTTTATGTTAATATATATATATATATATATATATATATTCTATTATTGTTCAGATTGAAGAAGAGGAACCACAATATGTTGGAAATGACTCAGCAATGCCCCAACAGAGCAGTGGTTCTCCAAATTTTGAAAATGTACGTGTTTATACTTCCCTATGACTAAGCATACTTAAGAAACTAACTAATGAATTCTCTCTTACCTCATTGTCTTATCCATTTATTCCAAATAAATCAAGATATTTTTTTTATGTTGTGTGTTTAGATTTAATATATTACAGTTATTAATAACATCAAAGCTCAGTTTACCTTCTTTTTATTATACCATTTTTTTTAATGTTTAGAGTAATGAGTTATCAAAGGAGATTGCTAAAAAAGGCACCGCAAATTCGTCAAATTTTATAGAGGTATGTACATTATGCTTTTCTATGACAATAGTGACCCAGACCAACAAACAATTTCTCTTTTTATTAATGTATATATATTGTATGCTTCTTAATTATTTTAACCATTTTAGAAACTGACATATTCATAATTTATGGGCTATGTAGAGTGCCAACGTATCAGGAAATGAAATTGTTGAAGAAAAGCTCTCTACAACTCTATCATCTAACTCAGTTGTGGTAGGGTTATTCTCAATTAATACTTTCACCGTTTTATATATATACACACACTCAGTCTTTTTTCCCAGTTATATATGCAGCAATGTAGAAATGGAAATGTCTTATAATAGTAATAATTTGTAGTATTTTTATTGAGCTTTTTCCTCAATTAATAAAAGACTTTCTTCTCGATTAATTGAACTTCTTTAGCAACTTATTCATATTTTATGAACTATACAGAATACTAAGGTATCAACAGATGAAATTGTTGAAGAACAAATTCCTACTTCAGATACAGCAGCAATTCCACCATCAAAGTCTGATAGGGTAAGAGTCTTTCCTCAACAAATGCTTTTGTACTTGTACATTTATCAAAGTTGACGCTATGGGTAATCTAATTAAAACAAATTTAAGAAACAAACGAAGTATTCAAGAAGGTACCAAAATAAGAGGAAGCTAGAAAAGCATATTAAATCATGAATTCAAAATTAAGTAATACATCACAAATAGCATCTGCTATTCCTTTATAAAATAAATAGTAAGAATATAGTCCTTCCTGATGTGGGTTGAGTTAGCTCCTAAACGACATAACCTTGTGATAGTTTTTACATTTTCATGTTCATTCAGGATAATTTGGTTTACAATGTAAGTTCATCAACTCATTCTGAGCTAACAATCTCAAATCTAGGCACAGCAGTTTTTATAAAGGTAGGTTTGTTTCATTAGCTTTTTGCTTTAAAAATATCACTTGTTGCTTGATTATTCCTTTACTTAGGAGTTATGTGAAAAGGAACCAATGTGTGATCAACAAGCACTTGGAGAAAGTAGAAGCTCCAATGAAGCTCCTCAAAGAGTTGAAGAACCTACTAATGAATGCCCTTCCAAAGAAACATCAAATAGAATGGCAATGATGATTCCAGAAAATTCTATTACTGGAATGAACCCTCCACCGGTAAATACTTGGTTTTCAATATATTTGCATTATTGATACATTATTTATTTTCATTCAGATTAACCTTTCTATAATCTCTAATCTCTTTGATCTCTTCAATATGTTCTCCAAAAAAAGCCTCAAGAAAAAACTTCAGCTCCTCACGTGGAAATGGAATCAGGCAGCTCTACTATTACTGATCAATCTGCACAAGTAAGCCTTCATGTTACTGCATCAATTTCGGGATGGAATTTATTCTTTAAAGCTGGTATATACTAATGCTAGAATAGAACAATTTGATAATCAACTGGTAGTTCCCTTTTTAATGAAGCAAATGGTCCCGTATTTTAGAGACACTATACATTAACTTCATTACAGTTTAATTAATACATAAATAAAACACACCATTACAATTTAATACATAAATAAACTAACTTGTATGAACTATTATTTTCAGTATGCACCTAATTAAGAAGGTCAACAATTATTAACTGTGCTTCTATTGTTTAGACATAAATGTGTTGTGGGCCATTTTATTTTATTATATTCTATTCTATAGGTTACAATAATGGTTGCTTCATTTGATTTACTTCAACAGGATAAAATCATGGATCAAACAGGGACCTCCATTAAGAATCAAATTAAGTTTGACCAGGGAAACCGTCGTCAATTTGCAGAAGATGATCTAATGAGATTATTCCAAATAATGGAGGAAGGTGCTGAAATGGAAGTTGACATGCCTTATGGATCCAAAATTGCAGCATTTGAAGATGATAACGAGCTGAGTAAAGCTCTCACTGACTTGGGAACCTCATTGAAGATGAGTCTAAGTGAAATAGCTTGCTCTGAAGAAGGCAAACTTCGGCTTGAGAATGCTCTTAACATCTTGTCCTTCATTGTTTTGAAGATGGAGCTCCCTTTCATGGCCTTCAAGCTACAATTCATTCTCTGCAACAAGAAATCCAAACTGTTCTATCTTCCTCCAAGAAAGCCTATGCCACTATTGACACATTCAACAAGCTTGAAGAAAAAGAGAAGCTTGCCATTGAAGAACGTTCAAAGAGAAAGGAAGCAGCAATTGCTCTTCTGTCTGAAATTCACAATAAAGAGAGTTATTTGGCTGAGGCTCGGCTAAAGGAAGCAGAGTTGAAGAAGACAATCTCAAAGTTTCAGGCTAAACTGTATAGCAAGGAAAAAGAAATTCAAGAGTGTGAGATGGAACTGTTATCTCTGAAAGAACAGAAGAAAAAGAGTGTTTCTGACACAATGGGATTCATAAAGGAGTTTGAGGAAGTGAAGAAAGAAAAGTCTCACATGGTGGAAGAAAATATAAAAGCAAAGCAACAGCTACAAAATATGGATGTCAAGTGGTCTTCCTGTCTATCCAATTTGAAGAAAACCACACTGTTGCTAGGAGTTCATCTTCAACAGAAGCTTTGACTGTTGGAGACTGATATTTATATTTCCTAAAAACAGTATTAAAAAAATCGACAATGTTGTATGTTTATTAGTTGGGTTGTCACCCATATGTGCTTCTGAGTCCATGCAAAACCATCCCATCCTTTTATGCTACTTGATTGTATATTATTGAAAAATTGCAAGTTAGTAAACTGTTATCACTTGCTTGAAATTATAAGCATGCTTAAAGATTTCTGAAGAGTTACTTTGATGGGACTGTACTTAGTTTGAGAAAAGCAGTATATTACTGCAATATTGATAGGCACGCTCTAGAGGGATTGTTGGGCCTCTAACTGAATGAGTACTGTTTGAGCTTCATGGCCTTCATATTGAACGCCTCATGGTATGCTATCAAATATTTTAGGATCCCTTGTTAAATTTGGATTGCTTCTTTTTTAATGTAGCATAATTAAAATGATTTAACTTTTTGTTTGTGAAAAATCCCACTTATTTAAAGTATGATTGTGTTGTTATGTTTTGATCAAGAATCTTAATAGAGAGAAGAAAGTAAAACAAATAAAGCAATTGAATATTAAAAATGAGGTTGGCTAAAAATGTTGTACGATTCTCCAATGAAGTTGAATTTTTGGCCCAAAAAACAAAAAGAGGAAGTTAACTTGATTTTTTTGTTTTTTATTAAATTGAAATCCTCTATTTTCAGGCGAATGCAGCATGGAAGTCTGATCTTACGAATCTCTATGCTTTTATCAAATAAGATAACTTATGAGAATAGTTAATGAAGGAGTAATATTCAAAAGCTGATATACAGCAATTCGTGTATGAAAACATATATAGAGTCCTCTCCAATTTAGAGCAGAATTACAACTGGAAATCTGAGAAATAACAGAGTTCATAGGGAAAGATTTAAAAAAACGTTATAAACAACATGTTTTTAGAGGAATACCGTAACACTAATTGGAATAATTAAGTATGCTACTCCTTAACAAAGGAAGTGGCTCCATAAAACGTGAACTGAATATATACTTTAATTGAAGAAATTTTCTTGCTAGAAGAACTTGAGGAAGGTTTCAGAATGATAAAATGAAGTCAAATTTTTGAGTGGTGATTGATCAGTTCCTCTACTTTATTGTCAATGGTTTGTCGCATGCGGAAAAGAACCCCAAAGAAAGAACAAAGAACTCAGCAGTGCCTAACAATTTCTATCCAATGAATTGTCAAATTGACAAACGTTTTGTGGAATGGTAACATTGTGCCACCTTTAATTTTGATATACCTAATTCATCTTGAAAATAAGTTTAAATACATAATTACTTGGATTAAGATTCAATTTTGTCTTAAAAGTTGCGTAGGAATTATTGGTATCTGGAAATTTTTTTTTATCAATACCGGTCAAAAAATATTTTTATTCATTTATTTTTTTGAATTATTAAATATTTTTAATAATATCATTAGTATAAGGTTAAAAAGCTTTTTTTATTTAATAATATTATATTCTTTTATTCAGGGTGAAATGCTAAAATTGCACAATTTTTCAATCCATTTTTATCAAATCAATCATAAAATTTTTCATGAATTTATTTTTCATTTTAGTACTTATCAAACAGACCTTTAACTAGAAATTTTCCATTTCCTTTCTTTTTATTCTTGTCCATTTCAACCGATTCTTCCTATCAATCAAACGAAGCCTTAAAAAAGTGCTTGTCAACATATTTGGTCTGGTCTTGTTAGATTGAATAAGTATTTATTTGGCAAACTCCCATAATCAGTTAAAAAAAAAAAACTTCAAGGACTCCTCATATACTTACACAATTGTAT